CCTGAGCCCCGCAAACCCAGAGCCCCCTCCTACATCCCAATCCCTTCAACCCCAACCCTCCCCAGAGCCTGCACCTGCAGCCCAGAGCCCTGACAACCTCCTGAGGCAATTTATTCCAGTGCTTAACCACCTTGACAGTTAGGAAGTTTTTCCTAATGTCCAACCTAAACCTCCCTTGTTGCAATTTAAGCCTATTGCTTCTTGTCTTAGTCTCAGACGTTAAGGAAAACAAATTTTGTCCTTCCTTCTTATAACAACCTTTTATGTACTTGAAAACTGTTATCATGTCCCCCCTCAGTCTTTTCTTCTCCAGACTAAACAACCCCAATTTTTTCAATCTTCCCTCATGGGTCATGTTTTCTAGATCTTTAATAATTTTTGTTGCTCTTCTCTAGACTTCCTCCAATTTGTCCACATCTTTCCTGAAATGTGGTGCCCAGAACTGGACACAATGCTCCAGCTGAGGCCTTATCAGTGCGGAGTAGAGAGGAAGAATTACTTCAGTACCAGGCAAATTGGTTGAAACTACAGTAAAGAACAGAATTACCTGAAACATAGATTCATACGATTTGTTGCGGAAGAGTCAACATGGTTTTTGTAAAGGGAAATCATGCCTCACCAATCTATTAGAATTCTTTAAGGGGGTCAACAAGCATGTGGAGGGGGATCAAATTGATATAGTGCATTTGGACTTTCAGAAAGTCTTTGACAAGGTTCCTCACCAAAGAGTCTTAAGCAAAGTAAGCAGTCATGGGATAAGAGGGGGCTCCGGGTTTGGGGGGCTCAGGGCTGGGGCAGGGGGTTGGGATGCAGAAGGGGGTCAGGGCTCTGGGTTGGGGGTGCAGGCTCTGGAGGTGAGGCCAGGGATGAGGGGTTTGGGATGCAGGCAGGGGCTCCGGGCTGGGGCAGAGGATTGGGGCCAGGGTTGGGGCCTCCCGTCAGCGGTGAAGTGGTGGTGCTAAGGCAGGCTTCCCTCCAGTCCTGGCACCACGGACCGCGCTGCGCCCTGGAAGCAGCCAGTAGCAGGTCCGGCTCCTAGGTGGAGGCGTGAAAGCGGCTCCGCATGGCTCTTGCCCCCAGGCACTGCCCCCCCCCCCCCCCAGCTCCCGTTGGCTGGGAACCGGTCAATGGGAGTGTGGAGATGGGGCTTGGGCAGCACACAGGAGCCCCATGTCCCCCCCGCCTAGCAGCCAGACCTGCTGCTGGCCGCTTCTGGGGCACACCGTGGTGTCAGAACAGGTAGGGACTAGCCCCAGAGCCGCCGCGACCCAGTGCCTTCCAATCCACCACCCAGTACTGGGTCCCGACCCGCAGTTTGAAAACTACTGGTTTAGATAATACTTAGTCCTGCCGTGAGTGCAGGGGACTGGACTAGATCATCTCTTGAGGTCCCTTCCAGTCCTACCATTCTTTGAAGTTCAGCTTACAGGCCTGTAACTGCCAGGATCACCTCTGGAGCCTTTTTAAAAATTGGCATCGCCTTAGCTACCCTCCTGTCATCTGGTGCAGAGGCTGATTATTACACTTAGTACCACAGTTAGGAGTTCTGTGGTTTCATACTGGAGTTCCTTCAGAGCTCTTGGGTGATGCCCTCTGGTCCTGGTGACGTATTACTGTTTAATTGATCAACTGGTTCCAAAGCTTCCTCTATTGACACCTCAACTGGGGACAGTTCCCAGATTTGTCATCTACAAAGAATGGCTCAGAGGTGGGAACCCCCCTCACATCCTCAGCCGTGAAAACCGACGCATAGAATTCATTTCGTTTCTCCACAACAGCCTTGTCTGCTCCTTTAGCACCTCGATCATCCAGGGGCAGCTTCCTGCTTCCGATGTATTTTTAAAAAAGATTTTCTTCAGGTTTTGTGTATTTAGCGAGCTGCTCTTCGAATTCTGCCTGGCTGCCTAATTAAACTCTCACACTTGAGTAGCCAGAGTTTATGCTCCCTTCTGTTTTCCTCAAAAGGATTTGACTTCCAACGCCTTTTTGCCTCTAACTGCCTCTTTTACTCTGTTGTTTAGCCAAGGTGGCACTTTTTGGGCTATTGGGGCTTTTCCTGTATTTGGGGGATACATTTCGTTTGAGCCTCCATGATGGTGTTTTTACACAGTTTCCACGCAGCTTGCAGGCTTTCACTCTTGGGACTGTTCCTTTTAATTTCCAGCTAACTACCTTCCTCGTTTTGGTGTAGTTCCCCTTTCTGAAGTGAAACACTGCTGCACTGGGCTCCTCTGGCATTTCCCCCGAACACTGATGTTAAATTTAATTACACTGTCGTCACTATCACTGGGGGGGGGGGAGGAGCTGTGACTAACATGGCGGTGGCAGGGGGTTCTGACTGGCATGGCAGTGCCCGGCGGGTATGGGGGGGCTGTGGCTGGCATGGCAGTGCCTGGTGGGTATGGGCGGGCTGTGGCTGGCATGGCAGTGCCCGGTGGGTCTGGGGGGCTGGGGCTGGCATTGCAGTGCCTGGTGGGCATGGAGGGCTGGGGCTGGCATGGCAGGCGTGGCTGGCATAGCAGTGCCCAGTGGGCAAGGGGGGCTGTGACTGGCATAGCAGTGTCTGGGGAGCTGGGGGGGCTGGGGCTGGCATGGCAGTGCCCAGTGGGCATGGGGGGCTGGGGCTGGCATGGCAGTGCCTGGGAGGTCAGGGGGGCTGGGGCTGGCATGGCAGTGCCCAGTTGGTTGGGGGGCTGGGGCTGGCATGGCAGTGCCCGGGTGTTTGGGGAGGCTGGGGCTGGCATGGCAGTGCCTGGGTGGTTGGGGGGGCTGGGGCTGGCATGGCAGTGTACGGTGGGCATGGGGGGCTGGGGCTGGCATGGCAGTGCCCAGGTGGTTGGGGGGCTGGGGCTGGCATGGCAGTGCCTGGGTGGTTGGGGGGCTGGGGCTGGCATGGCAGTTCCTGGGTGGTTGGGGGAGCTGGGGCTGGCATGGCAGTGTACGGTGGGCATGGGGGGCTGGGGCTGGCATGGCAGAGCCTGGTGGGTCGGGGAGGCTGGGGTTGGCATGGCAGAGCCTGGTGGGCATGGGGGGGCTGGGGCTAGCATGGCAGTGCACAGGGAGCCGGGGGAGCTGGGGCTGGCATGGCAGTGCCCAGTGGGTATGGGGGCCTGGGGCTGGCATGGCAGTGCCCGGGTGGTTGGGGGGCTGGGGCTGGCATGACAGAGCCTGGTGGGTCGGGGAGGCTGGCATGGCAGTGCCTGGTGGGCATGGGGGGGCTGGGGCTGGCATGGCAGTGCCTGGTGGGCATGGGGGGGCTGGGGTTAGCATGGCAGTGCCCAGTGGGTATGGGGGGCTGGGGCTGGCGGGTCGGGGTGGCTGGGGCTGGCATGGCAGTTCCCAGTGGGTATGGGGGGCTGTGCCTGGCGGGTTGGGGTGGCAGGGGCTGGCATGGCAGTGCCCAGTGGGTATGGGGGCCTGGGGCTGGCATGGCTCTGCCTGGTGGGTCGGGGTGGCTGGGGCTGGCATGGCTGTGCCCGGCGGGTCGGGGTGGCTGGGGCTGGCATGGCAGTGCCCAGTGGGTATGGGGGCTGGGTGGCTGGGGTGGCTGGCATGGCAGTGCCCAGTGGGTATGGGGGGCTGGGGCTGGCGGGTCGGGGTGGCAGGGGCTGGCATGGCAGTGCCCAGTGGGTATGGGGGCATGGGGCTGGCATGGCTGTGCCTGGCGGGTCGGGGTGGCTGGGGCTGGCATGGCAGTGCCCAGTGGGTCGGGGTGGCTGGGGCTGGCATGGCAGTGCCCGGTGGGTCGGGGTGGCTGGGGCTGGCATGGCAGTGCCCGGTGGGTATGGGGGGCTGTGCCTGGCGGGTCGGGGTGGCAGGGGCTGGCATGGCAGTGCCCAGTGGGTATGGGGGTCTGGGGCTGGCATGGCTGTGCCTGGCGGGTCGGGGTGGCTGGGGCTGGCATGGCAGTGCCCAGTGGGTATGGGGGGCTGGGGCTGGTGGGTCGGGGTGGCTGGGGCTGGCATGGCAGTGCCCGGTGGGTATGGGGGGCTGTGCCTGGCGGGTCGGGGTGGCTGGGGCTGGCATGGCAGTGCCCAGTGGGTATGGGGGGCTGGGGCTGGCGGGTCGGGGTGGCTGGGGCTGGCATGGCAGTGCCCAGTGGGTATGGGGGCCTGTGCCTGGCGGGTCGGGGTGGCTGGCATGGCACTCCCTTGTGGCCACGTGTGGGAATGTCAGTCTCCGCATGGCCACACGCTGTTGTGAGCACGGCTGCTGTGTCTGAGGAAGCCCAGCCGGCCCCGTGAGCGCCGCACGCCCTGTGGCGGGCCAGAGGCCAAGGCCCCAGCAGGCCGTTAGAGGGGGAGGCCTTGCTCTGAGACTGCTGAGCAGAACTGCTAACCACACCCATGTCCCGGAGAGAGCCCCTCGCCCACGGCGCTGCACAACAGCTACCCAGAAATGCAGCCACCTCTGGGGAGCAGGGCAAAAACCTGCTCTTCAGAAGAGCCTCATGGGACCTGCAATGCCCACGCCGAGCAGACGCCCCTCCGGGGTGCGAGGTCTCAGCTACCAGACACCACCGCATTGGCTGACTGGCCCCAGGACTTTCACTGGCGGGGGCCTGGCCTCCTCGGAGCCACTGCACATCTCAGCGCCTCCTCCGTCCCCTCAGCCAGGGAAGGCGGGAGCCAGCCCTTATGGACGGTGCCCAAGCTAAGCCCCCCTCTCGGTAGCCAGCCCCCAACAGCCACCACACGGCACGGCAGGCATTGAACTCGGACCCTTGAGGTTCAGAAGCAGAAGCCTCTATGGCTTGAGCCAAAGGACACTCTCAGCCGGCACCACTAGTACGGCTTTTATCCTTCGTAGTAGAACCAGTGAACACCGGCACAGCTTACGGCATACGCCTGCGTGGACAGGGTAAGCAGGGGCAACCCCCTGTCCCCAGGACCCTGCCCCATTGCTTGGGCTCGAGATCTGGGTCCCAGCAACGAGGACAGGGCTGCGCCCGCGGCAAGAGCTATGCCAGTCTTGGCACACGGCAGCGTGGCGGTCCCTACCTGCACCGCTAGGAAGTCATCCTCATCTGGCAGGATCCGGTAGGTGTGGACGTGCTTCTGGAACCTGCGGCAAGCCGGAAGGAAGAGGGGTTAGAGAGACGGTCACGGAGCCCCGCGAGGCCAGGGCGCCGCAGAGCGGAAGGATGGGCTTGCGGTTAACGCACTAGGCTGGGACTCAAGTGATCGGGGTCCAATTCCCTGCTCTGTCGCTGACTCCCTGTGCGACCCTGGCCAGCCCCTGATCCTCAAAGGTATTCAGGTGCCTAACCCCCATGGGTTTCAACGCCTAAATACCGTTGCACCTTAATCTCTCTCTGCCTCTCTCCCCCATCTTGGACATGGGGTTCAGACGTCCTCTGTCCAGCCCTTGTTTACAGGGGCTCTAAGCTACCCAGGATGGGGGCAGTCTCTCACTGTGTGTCCATACAGCACCCGACGCACTGGTGCCCCAACCTCGGTACAGCCTCTGAGAGCTATTGCAGTACGTCTCATAGCGCTCAGGAAGAGCGGCGCTCTCACGGATCTCAAAGCCACTGAGAAACGTTCATGAATTAACTGTGGGGAAACAAGGCCCAGACAGGGGACTTGCCCAAGTCCATGTACCAAATCGGGCAGAAGCCAGGAGTCCTGGCTCCTACCCCCAGACTGTAGCTTTCCGGTGCAATGGCGCGCCGGCTTACAATGGGCCTGGCCCGTGGACTGAACCACGCAGCACAATTCCCGCCACGCTATGCAACAGGAAGCCAGCTGCAGCCCCCGAGCGCCCTGCCCCCCCCTGCTGAGCTCTAGTCCCCTGCCCCATGGGAATGGCCAGCACAACCCCCGAGTGGCTGGAGAGGGAAAGACACCAGGGGAATCTTTTCACCCTTGTACAATTAAAAAAGCAGCTCAGTGCGATGGGCTGCAGTGCTGTAAATGCCGTGTGTGGGCCCCGAATGCAGCTATCACTGGAATGCCGCCGGCGGAGTTTTCCAGTGAGCAAAGAGCAGGACAAGGAGGTTACAACTGAAACCGCTTAGCAACCTTACCAAGCTGCATTGGAGCAAACTGGCTAATGTGTATGTGTAGCACCGCGCTCTGCTAGCTGTTGCAATTGCTCAGCCATGTGTCATCAGCCCTATAATGCCAGCAACTAAAGGAGAGTCTCTCTTGGCTTGGGTGCGAGGCAACTGCCCTTTTGGAGCAGGAAGATCTGGGTTCTGCCCTTACGGCTGCCATGACATTTTGGATGGCCACAGTGTGCAATTGTTGTATGCAGTAACACTTACACAGAGTCCCTGTCCCAAACAGCTCCCAGGCTACAGAGATAAGACAAAGGACAGGAAGGGAAACTGAGTCACCGAGCGGGGACAGGACTTGCTCAGCGTCACCCAGCCGGTCAGCAGCAGAGCTATGGGAAGAGCCCAGGTCTCCTGATGCCCAGCCCGGTGCTACACCCACTAGACCGTACTGCCTCCCACAAACGAATAAAGGAAATTGATGCCTGTGAAGTGCTGTGAGATCTGCTACTGCAAGGGGCTAGAGGCAGGCCAACGGGGCTGTCAAAGCACTGGCAACAAGGATGCCTTTTAAAGACAAATATTTTGGCTTTATTGCTCAGCCCCTCCCTCCCCCCAGGCTCCCCTTCGTGTTGCCAAACACGCAGGGGAAATGCACTGGGTCTGACACTGCACCAGGCAGCCCTGTTTATTTCACCGGGAACGACCGACGCGCCAGGGAAGCTGCCGAAACAGCAGCCGGCAGGTAAGGGGCAGAGCGGGGCCGATGTTGCAGCTGGCCAGCCAGAGCCAGCCACTCACAGCTCAGCCTGGTGTGGGTGGGGCTCTGAACCACGCTGCGCTCCCTCCCCGCCCCCCAATCTGAGCCCACAGGTGGACGGGGCAGGAGCGGGGGAGGCTGGAAGGATTTGCCCCTCTTGTCCGTCTGCCAGAGGAAGAACGCTCAGGAAGCTGGATTCGTGATGGCTAAGCAGCTTTCCCCCTGCAGGGCGAGAGGATGGGGGCTGTGTATAGACTGGGTCAGACCATCTCTGACAGTGGCCCCGTACCACAGCGTCAGGGAGAGTGCCCAGAACAGGGCAATCATGGCTTGATCCACCCCTGTCGTCCACTCCTGGCTCCTGGCACTCAGCAGTTTAGGGACACCCAGAGCATGGGGTTGCATCCCTGACCATCCTGGCCAACAGCTATGGATGGACCTATCCTCCATCAACTTCTCTGATGATTTTTTGAACCCCATTATAGTTTTGGCCTTCACAGCATCCCCTGGCAACGAGTTCCACAGGTTAACTATGCATTGTGTGAAGAAGTATTTCCTCTTGTTTGTACTAAACCTGCTGACTGTTAATGTCACTGGGTGACCCCTGGCTTTTGTACTGTGCGGAAGGATAAATGACTCTTCCCTATTCATTTTCTCTGCACCAGTCATGATTTTATAGACCTCTAGCAGGCCCCCCCCTCCAGCATCTCTTCTCTACACCAAACAGCCCTAATCTTTTTAGTCTGTCCTCGTATGGAAGCCGTTCTGAACCCTTCATCGTCTTTGTTGCCCTTCTCGGAACCTTTTCCAGCTATATCCTTTTTGAGATGGGGTGATCCGTGGCATTATGACCTGATGCGTGTGTGTGTGTGAGACCAATGCTCTCTACAGGATAGAATCAAAACTGTTCTGCTGTGTGTCATATGCCCTATACTGTTAACAACTAGCATGGAGCACTGACTGGGTCAGTGCATTACTCTCTGGCCCTAGACAGACTGCTAGGTCTGGGGTGAGGCACATTGGCGGGGGGGCGGAGGGGGGAAGCAAGTGCAGACCTTAATGACCTGGGTGGCACAGTGCGGTGCAATGCAGCCTCAGGCTGCCAAGGGACCACGCATCCCCACTCATTGCATTCCCCAGTGCAGCCCCACTCTTCCCTCCTCCGCTGCCCCTTTCCTCCCCCCGCTGCATCTGGGGAAACAGCTGCCTTCTCCTATCAGCTGCCCGCTGCCTTCTGTCATCACCCAGCCAGCGGGAGGCCGGTCAGACACGCACATTCATGCCACCGCTGCATCCAGGAATCCTGTTCTCCTAGGATTCCCCTGCCCCCGGGGAAAGGCCTCTTTGCTTGTGCTACCCACTCCCCTTAACCACACCCGTGCCCACCTGGCCCCTTTACAGAAGGCCGATCTTCCTGCTCCACAGCTCTGGGCCAAGAGACTGAAGTTGGTTCCTTGTTTCCTGTTCCTTATTCATGGTTTTCAGGTCCTTACTTAAAGGTCAACGTTATTTTAAAAGAGATCAATGTAAAATGACGTTGATTTTAGGTTAATGTGTTAACAGTGGAGATGACCAATGACTGATGTACTCATTAAATAAAGAAGCAGCTGGGTTTTGATAGCCCTTACATGATGAAATAAGTCTCCCGTCACTGCGAGTGTCACATCTCCATCGCCATCAGCTGGTTCTGAAGGAGCTGGGGCATGCCCCTTGCCAACCCGAAGCTTCGTATGGGTGGCCACTTCTCATGTCCCCATCACGGTTCCTTTTCCTTCAGCCCTCCAGTCACCCCCTCTGGGGCACCTGGCATTGGCCACTGTGGGAAGGCAGGATACTGGGTTGGATGGACCTTTGGTCTGACCCAGTCTGGCCGTTCTTATGTAACGGGCGGGTCTTCTATAAAGCCAGGAGGTTGGAAATAGTGTGTGAAGCTGCAGGAGGAAGCCTGCAGTGCCTCTCCCTGAGATAAGGGAGAAGGACCCTGGTAGAAGGAGTCCAGTGGTGAGAGCAGTAAGGCGGTGGAGATGCAGATCTGAACGGTTCACTACAGGGCCCTAGACTGGAACCCAGAGTGGAGGGTGGGCCTGGGTTCCCCTCCCACCCACGGCAGGGTGTGTTTTAAGAGGAGTGGATACGAAGGCTGCCGGAGTCGCTGATGGGGTGACACCGTCAGGGCAGCGGGCGTGAGGATGGCCTGATGCTGCGCGGGGAGAGAGACCTTGAAAGACCACCCTGGCAGGGGAACCTCTGAGCCACCTGGCTGGAGTCATGAGGAAGGGGCTGCAGACTGAGAGAGAGAGGGACAGAGAGACAGAGGGCAACCGCAGGAAGGGGCATCGGCCTGGTGGAGCTAATCCCCAGAACAGCCAGGAGGCAGCGTCACCCAGCTGTGAGCAGAGCGCCCCGTCACAACATCCAAAGAGCACATCCGCCCGTTTTGCCCCGGCATCACTCTGGGAGCTTTTGTTCAGCTGCTTGTCCACTTCCTTATGACTTGGAAAATGGAGCAGAGGGTATTCTTATCACGCTGTGGATGACAGCAAGCTGGGAGGGGTTGCAAGCACTTTGGAGGGCAGGATTAGAATTCAAAAGGGCCTGGATTGGAGAACTAGTCTGAAATCAACCAGATGAAATCCAGTAAAGACAAGAGCAAAGTACGTCACTTCGGAAGGAAAAATCAACCACACAATGGGGAATAACTGGCCAGGCTGTAGAACTGCTGAAAAGGATCTGGGGGTTACAGTAGATCACAAGCTGAACATGAGCCAACAATGTGATGCAGTGGTGAAAAGGGCTAATATCACTCCAGGGTGTAGTAACAGGAGTGTCATATGTAAGATGCGGGAGGTAACTGTCCCACTCCACTCGGCACTGGTGAGGCCTCAGCTGGGGAACTGTGTCCAGTTCTGGGGGCCGCACTTTAGGAAAGATGGGGACAAATTTGAAGAGTCCAGAGAAGAGGAATAAAAATGATCAAAGGTTGAGAGAACCTGAGCTGCGAGGAAAGGTTAAAAACCTGGGCGTGATTAGTGATTGAGAAAAGAAGACCAAGGAGGACCTGGGAACAGTCTTCAGATCTGCGAAGGGCCGTTCTAAAGAGGACAGGGATCCACTATTCTCCAGGTCCACTGAAGGTCGGACAAGAAGTGATGGGCTTAATCTGCAGCCAGGGAGATCTAGGTCAGATATTAGGAAAAATGTTCTAACTAGAAGGATAACGAAGTACGGGACGAGGTTCCCAAAGGAGGATGTGGAATCCCCGTCATTTCGGGGTCTCCGTCACTGGAAGTTTTTACGAGCAGGTTA